GTGTGTGTGTGTGTGTGTGTGTGTGTGTGTGTGTGTGTGTGTGGTCACCTGTACAGGTGTGTTTAAGGACTGCTGTCCTTAGTTTTACTCACAATGAAAGCAGAGATATGATTTTAGCCGGAGTGCTCACTCTGTTAGAAAACTGAGGAAAAAAATAAAAATATTATTTATTCCATTTATAAATTAATTCATAAACTCCGTTAAACACATATTTACTTTTATATAACTATACTGTAATAAAATATAATCTAAGAAAATAAAATGTGTAAACTGTGTACTTATTTATTTAAATTTGTTTAACAGAGCCTTTAACAGAGGCTAAGCTAAGCTTAGCATCATAACAGAGCCTCTGCTTTGATGCTAACCTTAGCTTAGCTAAGCTAATAGCTTCTGAATATTTAATAAAATGTTTCTTTACAATTACAAAACTTTCAGCAGGTCAATCTTTAAAAAGTTTACAGAAACTGAAAGATTAAAATTTTCTTCTGCTTAAAAGGTTTGATGCTAAGCTAATATAAGCTAACATAGGCTAGGGTAAGCTCATTGAAACCATTGGTTTAAATCTGTTTAAAAACATTTCAGGACACAAAATATTTAAAAACAAACAGTTCAGACTGGGTCAGGGTCAGACCAGGTCAGGGTCAGACCTGGTCCACGTACCTGGACAGAGTACCCAGAGAGGCAGCTGCTGTATTTGTCTCTGGTGGTGGTGAACAGGTTCCACACGTAGTTCAGGGTGTAGAAGAAGGAGGCCATGTAGAGGATCTGAAACACAGGACCTGGATCAGTTCCCTGAACCTCTGGACTTCAACCCACAACCCCCCTCACTTAAACAGACAATAGATGTGGCTCAGGAATGTTTGGGGCTGTCCTGGTTCTGATGACCCAATTCAGGACCAGCAGAAGCAACAGAGTGGGAGGAGCTTCAACTCCAGATCCAGATTGTTTGTTTATGATGTCATTTAAAAAGTAGAGTTAATAAGATTTTAAACTTTATCTTCAGAACCTGGACGTTGACCCAAACCAGAGTTTCCTGCAGTAACAAAGACGTCCCACATGAGCCCAGACTGGGTCAGCTGGTTCTGACCACATCTGAGACTTCATGTTGACGTAAAGAACCTGAAGGACCTGAAGGTTTCACATCAGCATCTAAACCAGAACACGTCACTGGACTCCTGAGGTTCTGACTGTCCCCACTACAAATACTGAAGAAACAAAACCAGAACATAAAACCAGAACATAAAACCAGAACATAAAACCAGAACATAAAAACCAGAACATAAAACCAGAACATAAAAACCAGAACACAAAAACCAGAACATAAAACCAGAACATAAAACCAGAACATAAAACCAGAACATAAAAACAGAACATAAAAACCAGAACATAAAACCAGAACATAAAACCAGAACATAAAACCAGAACATAAAAACAGAACATAAAAACCAGAACATAAAAACCAGAACATAAAAACAGAACATAAAAACCAGAACATAAAAACCAGAACATAAAAACCAGAACATAAAAACCAGAACATAAAAACCAGAACATAAAAACCAGAACATAAAA